ATAAGTTTAATATTTTTCTTTTGTCTAATGGCATAGATTAACACTGCAATTATGCATTTTGTGATGCATATTAAATATGCACCAACACAGCCTGACTAGCAAATCTCTGAAATGGTGGACGATTCGGTGAGAGTTGCAGGACCTTTCTGTGATAGAAAATGGTATGTCTTTGCTTTCCTTGATTCTCATCATCCTGACATTCCTGAGCCTCCTTATCCTCCTCTATTAGAACTGATGAAGCAAAGCTAGTCCCAGGTGTCCTTTTGTTCTTAGCTTCTTGTGTTTTCCATATCCTAGTAGCTCTCCTCTAATTACACAATCATCTGCAGCCCTGCAATGGTTGGAGAATGAAGCTAATGTGACACTTGGCGTAAAGATTGCATCGATGGGTTCCTTGGTTCCGTTGAGAAAGATGGCTCTAATGTTTTTATCAATTGGGTGCAAAGTAATCAGATCAAAGTTGTAAGCATTTCCTATATCCGAAAACTGCCCTTGTGCTTGAATTTTGCTGTTGTTGTCTAAATTTTCCATTTATTTTTCTTTTCCTTGTGTTTCAATATATTGGTCGTAAGGATGTGCACATATATATTTGTCCTAGATTTTGTGTGTGCGACTTTGTTTGCACGAAATCGAGGTTTCCTTGTCCCTCTGGAGGATGTGATTGTGTATTCTCGCAGTTGCGCCACTTTTGATATTCCTATTGAAGTTGCCAACACTTCCAAAAATGTTGTAACTCATCACCAGGTACTTCAAAATTCTAATCAAATCTTTGTATGGCTAGTAGTTGTCTTGTTCTGATTTTCTTTTATTTTTCCTCTTTTGACATTGTATATATAAAATTCAAATGGATAAATTATTGTATGGTACCACGTCATCTAATATGGTTGGACGACGACATTTCCCACTTTTAAGGTACAGTATCCCGTCAATGTAATATGTTGGACTACATGGTTGATATTATTTCTCACTTTTAGGGTATAATATCAATAAATATTCACTTATTTTATCACATGTAGACAAGTTATATCTCATGATCATGCTTGAGTATTACACTATGTTTGGTAAACTGTATTAGACTCTGAATAGGAGTAAATAATCTATGTCACTTATTCGGTGTCAACTTGTATTATTTAATTTTCCGCCTATATTAAACAGATTGTGCTTTTCATACTCTCCTTACCTGACTAACTACTACAATCCACACAGCCAGTTTAGATAATACACGTTTAATTATAAGAATGAAAACACGCTCTCTCTCCCCTTTCCTCCTCACATTCTCATCTATGTCACTCTCTCTCTCACTCACTCTCTCTCTCTCTCTCTCTCTCTCTCTCTCTCTCTTCAATCTCTAGATTTGGAGATCTGGAGTGCAAAACCACCTTGCTATCTCTTCTCACAGATCTCATCTCAATGATCTCACTCCAAAACACTCTTGAGTAACAGTCACAACCATTAGTTTAATACTTTAATTTCATATGTCCGCTTTCTCAAGGACTGCAATTTAAAGTTTGAAATATAAGTAGCAGAGAGAGAGTGCTCCCATGGCTTAACAGTAAATTTGATCTGAATTTGAATGGAGTTCACAGAAGCTTACAAGCATATGGAATGGGCGTAGAAAGTGTTTCATGGTCTCCTTGTGGCCAGTTTCTAGCAGTGGGGAGTTATGACCAGATGTTGGGGTTTTGAATCACCTGACTTGGAAGACTTTTGCTGAATTTATGCACCTATATCTACTGTCCATGTTCCCTGATGTGCTGTTATTTTTAAGGTTATTGTTTGTTAATATATTAGATTATTTTTTTTGGGGTCAATAAGAACTTTCATTAATAGGAGACCAATCCAAAAAGATTACAACTCAAAGAAAAGGAGAAGCAGAGCCATGTGACAGAACAGAAGTGCATGCAAAACAAATAAACTCAATAAACCCATACAAGTTGCTACAAGAAAGAGCCCCACAGAATGAGAGTGGTACGACAATCCAAAATCAGAGAGTTTTGGTCATCTTAAACAGTGCATGCTATATGGAGGCTAGAAGAGGGCAAGGAAAACCATCACGATTTAAGATATGCACAAGAGAGGTGGGGGGCCTGGATACCCAAACTTCCGGACTCGACCTCGATAGTGCCAGCAACGCAAGGTGATCTGCCGCTTCATTATTTTTCTTACTGGTCCATGCCCAGTTACATTTTAAGAAATTGGAGTTGCATTCACGAATCCTTGAAAGAAGTGGGTATAGATTCCATCTTCCATGCTTTATGTTTCCTTTCACGCTCTCGATCAGTTCTTTGGAGTCAGATTCAAAGCAAACCTCTGGTAAGCCTAGCTCAGATGCCCATTTGCAACCTCCAAAACCAGCAACTACCTCAGCCATGATAGCAGATTTCGTGTGAAAGGATAGGCACTTCGCTCCCACGAACTCATCATTGGCATTTAGTGCAATAAGATTTGCTCCCACTTTTCCAGAGGATGCCAACCAAGCAGCATCAAAGTTAACTTTAATAACATGGGCTTCCGATGCGGTCCAAGAAGTAGGATTTGGAGAGGGTCCTTTGCAAAACCTCCTCACAATCCTTCTGTTATTCAACGCAACCAGCTCCTCCACTTGAGAAAGAAAGGTTTTGATGGCCAAGAGAGGTTGTGGTTTGCATTGATAAAAAAACAAAACGATTTCTTGTTTTCCAAATAATCTAGCATGTAACAGCAATAATGCATGATATGCACCCTTTTTCCTCCTTAGTTTGGAGCCCATCCGTGGTACATTTCAGCAACCATTGGTCAAAGGTGGTAATTCTCTGCTTGTCAATTTTATAATTAAGAGGGTCACCAAACCAAATCAATTCGACCCACGCGCAAAGGAGGAGCAAATGTTCATCAGATTCCTCATGAGCTTGGCATATGGGACATAATGGGGTTCGAGCAATTTTGCATTTGTGGAGAGCCATCGTCATAGGTAGTCTACCATGAATTGCATGCCATAGAATTTTTTTTTATCTTTGGCGGAATCTTAGCTTTCCAAATATTTTTCCATACCAAGGGGTCTATTCGTGATGAGATGGAGGCCTTTCTGGCGATGGTCTCAACCTGCAGGGCATGGATGCAATGGTATCCGGACCGCACTGAAAATTTGTCTTTCTTTTCCCCAGGCCACACTAATTATCGTCCTCCCTTCCATTCCCTATAGGGATAAGCTAGATAACAAGCTTCTCCTCGTCAGTAATTGAAGCTTGAATCGCGGTTAAGTTCCAAGTTCTGAAATCCCAATCAATTAAAGTTTACACCCTAGTGTTAGGATTGACTGAGGCCTGTAAGTGGGGGTAGAGTTTACCATCATGAAGGGAGGGAATCCAACAGTCGTCTAAAGCTTTGCTTGTCTACCGTATTCAGACATCATGTTCATTTAGTTTGTTGGATGTTCTCTCACCCCTTAATTTCTAAAATGTATGATGATTTTGGCAAAAACAAAATAAAATAAAATATTGTCATATGAATCTTGACAAAAAAAATTTCGTGTCATCTAAATTTCAAGTTCCACTTCATTTATTAAAGAATTTTTTTTAAAAAAATTATAATCCAAATATAATATAATTTAGTCAGACTATTTATCCGGAACAACATCAAATACCTTATAATATTATGAACAAATAGTCAATACTCTCCGAAACATATTAATACTATTCGACAGAAATTAATCAGTACGGTCCGATGTATGAAACGAGCCTATAAGTATTCCTTAATATGTGTCTTTAAATATATTTTTATATATTTGATTGGACATTGCTCTAATTTTGTCATATAAATAGATTAGTATGGACAGATAATTCTAACCACAATTATGGCCAGATACTTTGAACTCCGAGGACTTTGGATACACGGGATGAGACATAACTTGCTGTAACGTATAACCAATTGTTTGTTTTTTGTTTTTTGTTTTTTTGGGTGAAAATAACCAATTGCTTTCAAATATATAAAATATGTATTTGTTTTTTCTTAAATGATATAACTCCTCATGTTTCTTCTTTTTCTTCTTCTTCTTCTTCTTTTTTGTTTTTTTGTTTTTTTGTTTTTGTTTTTTTTTTTGGTCGTAATAGGAGCCGATGCATCATATAGGCCTTTACATAGCCAAAGGAAGAGGAGCAAAGGTAGCGTCCAAAGTGTCATTTGATGCAAAAGATTTGGGCGACGTATCTCAAAGTGGTGTGTTTGGAAATGCATAATGACTATTTCTAAAAATATTAGAAAACACATTTCTAATTAAAATAAGACTTGTTTATAATAAGAAACACTTCTCGGCTTACACTAAGTATATCAAAAGTTTCATAGTTCTTTATATATAGCCTCCTCTTTTGTTCATAAACTTGCAACACATACATAAGTTAACCCATTATAAAAAATATCAAATTAAAAATTTAGCCCCCTAAGATCCAAAAAGATTTGTCTGGAATGGGATAACACTGTTTTACTATTTCGATGAATCAAAAGCTGGTTATCACGCGTAACATACCGTGATTGATCGATAATAACAAAATAGCGTTATTTTTATTTCATATAAGTGTTTCTCCCCAAAATCCCATGACTCAGGGGATTTGGGTGATAAGATGATCAATTTCAGCATGTACTTTTTTACTATTGGAAACTGGGCCCAAACACCTTCAACCTTTGACATGTGGTAGCCTCATGGTCCCACAACTACAACATAATAAGAGATGGATTATCATATTTGATTCTACTTTAAACTGATTGGCAGGAAGAATCCCACTGTTTTTTGTTCCTATCCTTTTTCTAATAAGAAGGAGACGAAGGGGTTAAGGTACTTTCCAAGGCATCAAAAGCCAAAAGCCAAGGTAGTTGTTTGTATCTTCTGTCTCCCTTTCTTTTGGGTCCTTGAGGTTTTTGTCTCTGGTACAAAATACAAATAAAATAACTGTTGTTGCTTTTTCTCATTTGGTATTTTGCCGTATTCGTATAAGAAACGTTGTAGGCCAAACATCCAACGGTGCAAAACCATTCTATTTTTGTTGCTGGTTCCTTTCTTCCCCTGTTACCGTTGACTGGGTACATATATCATAAGTTTCTCACACACAAGTCTGAAACAGCTTTCGTTTTCCTCTGTAATTTAATACAAAAAGCTGTCAATTTTCAAAGTCTTCGTGTTCACTTGATTCTTTGTTTCATATTTCTTTATCAGAAAGAAAGAAGAAAAAGGAAAAGAAAAGAATGAGTGTGCAGACGATTGATTTGTTGAAGGAGGAGCTTCCGGTGCACCAAGAATCTCTGCATCTCACCGGTGACACCAAGACCGGCCTTGTCCTCGTCGACGTCGTCAATGGCTTCTGCACCGTCGGTGCTGGCAATTTGGTAATTTCCCTCTTCCCCTTCTGCGCTGTTTTTCTCATTATCCAGTTTATGGAAAATAATAAGATTTTAGATTTATTTCCATCTATAAGTTCTTGGTTCATAGAAAGCTTTGAACTTCTTTTTTTGGGGTTTATTATTTATATATGCGGCCATGTTATGCATATACAATAGGCACCAAGACAGCCTGATAAGCAAATCTCTGAAATGGTGGATGAATCAGTGAGACTTGCCAGAGTTTTCTGTGACAGAAAATGGCCTGTCTTCGCTTTCCTTGATTCCCATCACCCTGACATTCCTGAGCCTCCTTACCCTCCTCATTGTATTGTTGGAACTGAAGAATCAGAGCTAGTCCCAGGTACCTTTTTTTTCCTTTTTTTCTCTTGTCATTCATTTCCCCCCCAATTATTGCAGCAGCTACTATATATTTCTTGGATTAGCTTAATATACTTCAGGCATTTCGTTGTGTTTGTAGTTCTCTCTTAATTATATAATTATCTTCACAGCTCTGAAATGGTTGGAGAATGAAGGAAATGTGACCCTTCGGCGTAAAGATTGCATTGATGGATTTCTTGGTTCAGTTGAGGAAGATGGCTCTAATGTGTTTATCAATTGGGTTCAGAGTAATCAGATCAAAGTTGTACGCATTTCCTAAACCCCGAAATGTGTTCATCCACCTGTGATCGTGCTATTTCTATTTTATGTTGATTCTTTTAGTTGGTGCCTACGGAATTCTGTTATTTCTGTCTAATTTTGTTATTTCTTTTCTTTGTTTTTTTGAAGATCTTGGTCGTAGGAATATGCACAGATATATGTGTGCTAGATTTTGTATGTACCACTTTGTCTGCTAGAAATCGTCGTCTCCTTGCCCCTCTGGAGGATGTGATTGTGTATTCCCGTGGTTGTGCCACTTTTGATCTTCCAGTTGATGTTGCCAAAACTGCCAAAGATGTTGTGGCTCATCCCCAGGTACCTCAAATCAAATATTTTTATCGTTAGTAGTTGTCTTGTTCTTATTTTTTTTCCTTTTCTTTGTCCCCTTTTGACATTGTATACCTTAACATTTGTCTTTAAAGTATCTAGCCACAATTATAACTAGTACTTTCAAAACAGAAGACTAAGACAGGCTTGAGCTTGAGATTGAGAAGATTGACGAGGGGAATAGAGAAGATTGACTTCTTCAGATTTCCACTTGCTTTTTATTTTTCTCCCTTGGTTTGCTTTGTCAATGAGAACTCTTCAAGTTTGATCGTTTGGTTGTTCTTCCAGGAGCTAATGCATCACATAGGCCTTTACATAGCCAAAGGAAGAGGAGCAAAGGTTGTGTCGGAAGTGTCATTGAATACAAAAAATCCATGAGGCTTTCTCTTTGCGAGGGGTGCCTTTTCTAAATAGTGAACTTATGCTCTCTATATGACGAGCTGTCTTCATCAGGCAGTTCACATGTGGGAGGAAACAAGAAGGGTAACTGAAAATGGTGTGTTTAGGAGTGATGACCCATGATGGCAGCTGGAAGGGTCACCGCATAAAGATATATTATAATTTTCTCTGTTACTAATAAAATGGTGTGTTTAGAAGTGAAACAAGAAGAGTAATTTAGAAGTGATGACCCATGATGGCAGCTGGAAGGGTCACAGCATAAAGATATATTATAATTTGCTCTTTTACTAATAAAATGTACAGAGAAGCTTTACACTTTGCACTCTATTTCACTGAATTATAAGGCTACGGCTATGTCTTTGTTATGTGCATTGGCAGCCTGCGATTTCGTGTTTGATGTTTCAACTGTAAATGAGCTGGAGTGATTAATTGCATGCTCACTGAAGGCAGGCAAGGAAAATTAACTCATCAACTGGATTAATAGGGTTTTATCTGATTCTAATATGGAGAAAGAAATCATGTGATGGTGGCATCAACTTTGAACTGAGATGTATTTGGAACTAAATAAACATATGCAGAATTGGAGTTAAATGACCATGCCAATATGGTAACAAATGGCTTAAATGCTCATATTGTTTTGATACTTACAAACTACAAAACATGTTTGGTAATCAAATAACATATTCCTCCCAGATCAAAAACAAAAACAGAGAGGGAGACCTAAAAGAAAAGGAAGAACCCCACGGAAATCTGTCAAAAATACTGTTTAAAAGTCGAAATGAAAGAAAAGAAAACAAACAGCACGGAATGGAAAAAAATTACTGCTGGGATGATCTAGCTTTTGAATCTTGGTATCTCTTATGCATTGCAGGGGCCACAACGGCAAAGATTGATCGCTTTTGCTTCTTTGGTGTAACACCAAATATAAATGACCGCAAGGGAACTCGGGACCGACTCTCAGAGTGAGCTAGATGTGCAGGAGGTTGCTTCTTTGATCCAGAGAGCCTGTACTCATCGTTTAACTTTGCCATAGTTTTTTCTACTTCAAGTTGGAGTGCGTTCACATGGTCCAATCCTGCTTGCAATTCATCTGCAACCTTGTTATTCTCTTGTTTCATATTTAAAATCTCGCCTTGGAACTTTGCAGCTTGGTAGCTTGTAAACTCGAAGTCGCCATCCTCAGCACCTGTCTTCAAAGCTTTCGTTATTTCTTCTTGAATGTCGCATAAAGACGTGAATCTGCACTGCAGCTCATCTTTCAGTAATGCACCCTTTTCCAACCAAACATTTAGTTCAGTCTGTATCTCCATTAGGTGCTTGTATAGCGGTCGTGCATCTGATTTCATAGAATATTTTGCATGACTACTTCCATCTTGCTTCTTTCTTCTCTCCTCAAGCTTGTATATCTCAGACTGCAAATCTTCTACAGTAGTTTCAAATTGTTGTACCTGTGTAAATGAAGCGCTAAATTTTAACCAGAAATCCAAGTTCTCTTCCAACAGTTCATCAATATTTCCCCGGAATTTTTCTTCGATTGCTGATATAGTTGAAGTTCCCACAAGTTCATCATTGTCTTTCTTATCTGCTGGTGTACTCGTTGGGGTCTGCTGGTGATCTAAAGCTTTAAATTCTTCTGAGTCTTTATTTTTACCCATACTCTGTAGCAGAAGATCCAGTTTCTTATGCAATGATTTAATCTCTTCATCCTTCATGGCACTGGAACTCCTCAGTTCTTTTATGTGGACTGATGTTTCAAAGAGGTCGTTCTCAGCTTCACTGAACTTCGTCTTGAGATCCTTGTAGTTCCGAAGAGTTGTTGTGTACTCTGCCAATAGAATCTTCTCTCTGTCCTCCATCCCATTCAAAAACAATTTCTGCCAGTCTGGTTCTTCTTCCTGTGGTTCCATATTGAGAAGATTATCCACAGTCTGCTCTGAAGTTTGCTTGTCATCTTCTTTCCTTGTTGCTTGTTCCTTTGGTTCCATATTGAGAAGATTATCCACAGTCTGAGCAGAAGTTTGCTTGTCATCTTCTTTCCCTGTTGACTGTTCCTTTGGTTCCATATTGAGAAGAGTATCCACTGTCTGAGCAGAAGTTTGCTTGTCTTCTTTCCCTGTTGACTGTTCCTTTGGTTCCTTATTGAGAAGATTATCCACAGTCTGCGCTGAAGTTTGCTTGTCATCTTCTTTCCCTGTTGCTTGTTCCTTTGGTTCCATATTGAGAAGATTATCCACAGGCTGCGCTGAAGTTTGCTTGTCATCTTCTTTCCTTGTTGCTTGTTCCTTTGGTTCCATATTGAGAAGATTATCCACAGGGTGCACTGAAGTTTGCTTGTCATCTTTGTCCAGATGTTTCTTATCTTCGTTATTAATTTCCAGGGATTGACAAACATCTTCTCCTTGATCACCAGCAGTACGGAGAATATCTGTAGCTTTTACAGAACCATCAGCAGGATTTGGTGTTTCTTTATGTTCTGTGGACTTTTTTGATGGTCTCACTTCAGCCCGAGGTTCTTCATCCTTTTGCGGTGAAACTGTAGCCTTCAGTTCCTCTCCTGACTTTGCTTCCTGCAGTCCCTTGAAGCCATCATCAGGATTAACTGTTTTTTCTTCTCCTTCAAACTGCTTTTGCAACTTGGCTTCCCCCAGAGATCCCTCTTTCGTTTCTGATGAGCCTGTGACCTTGACCTCCTCATCTGGCTTCACGGTTCGCAGTTTATGAGAAATGTGACCAAGATTACAATGTGCTTCAGTAAAATGTGTCTGGAGATTGTCATTCTGGTTTTCAACACTTTGTTTTAGATCCTGGACTTGATGCAATTTTTCCTCCAGTTCCTTCAGCTTTTTGCCCAAGTCCTTCTTGCCATCAATGAGACTTACCTTATCATCTTCCAGAATTCGAATTTGTTCATGGATGTCATCATTTTCACTTCTTAATCTCTGGACTAGAGCAGTCTGTGATGAAACTGCACTCTCTAAGCTGATCACTTTATTCACAAGCTCATCAATCTTATCTGCCATTTCCGCAATAGTGAGAGATGTTTCAGGCCCAGCCTCGTAGTGTTCCTTAATTTTATCTCGTAACAACTCCAATTTCTGTTTCTGTTGTGCCACACTGTCCACTTCCTGGTCCAATTTTTTCTCATTTACTACATTCACAGATTCATCCTGTGCATTTGGCTTTTCCTGATTGATTTGACCATGATGAAACTCATTCTTAAGAGACTCTAAGTTCTTCATGGCATCCTTAACCCGTCGTGACTCAATTCTTGCTTCCTCAGCTGTACTTTCCTGTTTCATCTGCAACTGAGCCAATGTCTCTTGGCATGAATTTAAAGCAGATGCTGCCATCAAATTCCGAGCCTCATTATCGTCAATGACCATTCCCTCACCAAATTCATCTTGCAAATTGGATACTTTCTCTTGCATTCCCTTGATTTGGTTCTCTATTTCCCAGTACTTTGCAAGTCCATTTTCATATGAGCTCTTTACAAACTCTTTCTCAGTTTGTAGGGACAGAATTTGTTTTTGAGCCTTGTCAATCTCTTCAAGTGCCTGAGGTTTGCTCAAGCCAGATTTAGGAACTGCTTTAGCAGTTACTGTTTTCATTGACATCTGAGGCTGCAGTTTATTTTTAGCTGTTGCTTTTGTAAGAAGACTCTTTAGATCTTTAGTAGGACCCTTCGGAACCTTTGGGATATTCCCTTTTGAGATATCTGGAGGCCTTTTTGGCATTCTGGGTGAGGAATAATCATCTTCTTCATCCATGGCAAACTGAACTTGTTCTGGGAAAACAGAAGCAATCGTGTTGTTGGCATTTTGTAGCTCTGTTGAAATGTGATCATACCGTTCAGCCAAGGACCGGTACGCTCTGTAGGTTTCTTCAACAAAGTGTATCAGCTCTGGTCTCTTTTTGTAGTACATTTCTGCTCTCTTGGCAAAAGAGTCTCCATCCTCTTCAATGAGTTTAAGCACATATTGCACCTTTTCCTCCATATCTGCAATTCCCATATACTATGTTCAAGTGCCAGAAGACATATACAACTTCTTTTCGGGTAAGTGAAAAACAAAATAAAGTATCAAGGGGGACACCACAACTCAAATATATGATCAGAACTATTTGATTCACAGAAGACTTTTGTTTTCAACTTCGATTTTGATGTTTCCAGGGTTTACAATGCAAACAAAATTTCAATCGTATTGAAACTTCCTGTTCTTATGGAAAAGGTTGGAATATCTGCTACCTTACACAACAAAATGAAACAACATTTAAGGTTTTCTCCAATCACAACTTCAAATACATTGCAGATATAAATTGAGCAAATGGCCTTGGAGAAAGAAAAACACAACTCTCTTTTTAAAGGATAATTCCTCCAAGCACAGGGGAGAGAGAAACTGTAACATAACATCCAATTTTTATCATTAATTTTTTTTATCAGATGAAATATTCGGAATACTTAGAACTTTTTGACACCTTTTTAGAAGAGAGATGTGATTGCCAGAAAGGATGATTTAGAATACAATTTACATTACATTTCCAAGATAAGAAGGTTCATACAAGATAGAACATAATCAGATGGCAGATATAAAGATCAAGAGTAATTCTTAATTAGAAAAAGAAAAAAAAAACTAAGATCCTGAAAACTAGATGATTAGGTACCTTGGAGGTTCTGCTCCAGCCATTTTGACTGCTTGGTTCTGATGTGGCTGGCCCACCACCATGAATATGCATTGCTTGCAGCTCTCTGCAACATCTTTCTTGATCTCTCTTATTCTCCAGAGACCAAAACCATGCAACCCTTTTCTCTTCTCTGCCTCTCTACACCAAAAACCACATGTTACACAAACCACTTACTTTCTAGAGGAGTTTTTCAGGAAGAAAAAGCAAGAGGGTTTGAAGAATCAAAGAGGAAAAATGAAAAGAAAACACAGAGTTTGAGAAAGAACGTGCGCAACAGAGGAATGTGCCACCAACTTTCTAATTTTAGGATCATGGAGGGGAGCAAACTTCGGTCCGAATATTTTGTCAAAGCCTTCTTTTTGAAAAAATTTTTTAAAAAAAAAGACACAAAAAAGAGTTCCTCGTGAAAAAAAAGAAGACATTAGCCAATAGTCATAAAGACGTACAATTTTTTTATTTCTTTTAAATCTTAGGAAGCCAATCAAATAATATAAAACCAGGTGGCATGTTTGCTTTTCCAGGGTGGGAAGAGCACCCTCTTTTTTGCTTGGACACCCTGGACAAGTGACTTTTTTCTGCCTTTGCTTTGTGTAGGTTTTTTTTTTTTTTTTTTTTTTTTTTGAAAGTACAAACGGTGGTCTAAAACTCAAACACATAATTAACAAGATTTTTGATCTGCAAGTTA